GGAAAGAGGAGGAAGAGAAGACAGGAGAGGGCATTAGAAAGATTGTGAGGTGCACCACAGGGAAGAGAGGAAAGGGCTCTCAGCAGCACAGCATTTCAGTGGTTCCCAGCCCTGACCTTTCCCCATCTGAGAGTCCAGCCAGGAGCAGACAGAACAGAGACAAGCAGACATTTGTATTAGATCCTGAGAGGTAAGAAAAAGACGAATGTTTTTGGGAACGAAAGTGTGAAATTTTTACCCAGAGGATGGTTCTGTGCCCATTCCCATCTGTGGCACATCTTGATTTCACTGAAGGTGGTGCTCAACTCTGAGCCCGCGGTGTTGGCTCCTCTAGCAAGACACGCTGACAACTGAGCCGAGCAAGGTTAGCTCCATGGCATGATGGCCTTACACATCGCACACTGTTTGTAAGAAGCTAAATGGGATCAGTTTGGTCTGTTAGGCGTATCTACTGTTGGGCTTAAAGCCACATTTAAAACAACAGGTTATATTTCAAGTATTAATGTATACTCAAGGCACCTAACTCAATTTTTTTATATTATCCTTTTGTATAATTATAAAAGGGAGCTGAGAGTGAAAATCTTGAAGAGGATTTTCCCTGTACCATAGCTGGGATTGATCCAGTAAAATGACAGTAAAGTGAAAACCATCTCTGTACCAACCAAACGCACTCACCTGACAGTTGGGACCCATGAATAGGAAGTCAAGAGCGTGTCCTTTTTATTTACTAGATATTCCACTATCTCATGCTAATCTGGAAAGATGTGGAAGAGCATTAGCTGATGTTTATTAAGCACTTTATGCTCCTTGAGAAAAAGGTGATTATATAATTTACGCAAGGTATCTCTAAAATTGGGACTCAGGATATTAGTTAATGAGCCATCTATAAAAGAAAAGCCTGTTCCCATCTGCTTCAGACCTTGCGTGGGATCTGAGGAGGACGGGAAAGGGGAGACAGGGTAGAAAAGGTGCCTACTCTCCACAGCCCTAAGACCAGCGGGCCCTGGAACTCGACGCTGGCTCTGCTTGATGCCACCTATGCAAGTTCCTGGCTATGGATTTAGGATGTATGTGTCTTCTAAAGTCAGTCAGAAGCTGCACGGGCACAGCAAATTACTGCTTCTGGGAGAGAAGAGTATGCATCCTTTCATGTATGTAACTTAATTCTAGAAACTGAACCCTAAGTAACAGGAGAATGTATGCTCCCCCATCACCCCCCGCCACATTCTTGTTTAAGGGTTCTTTGTATAGAGATGGGCAAGTAGGAACCATTGTTCCTGAGTCCATGGGTGCCCCACAGTGGATGTCTCAGAGGGCACACCACCAGGACGAAGAGTGAGTCAGGCCTCTCCACGGAGAACTAAATCTAAACAAAAATGTGTTTTGCCTCTTCTTTACATAGACAAAAGCACCTTTGACAACTGGCAATAATAATCAGGTAGCTGGAAGGTGAATTAAGCACAGAGAAAAGAAAAGATCCTAGTTTACTCTCTTTCAAATCAGATGAGGATCCAGCAATTAGTGATGATAAAACCTTAACCGGCCACATTATATCTTGATTTCAATAATCTAATACCTAACCCTTTGCCAAGAGAGAAAACAAAAACAAAAAACATTAGCATTATGTTCAAAGACTCAAGTTTGTCGCCCCATGAGTCTGTCAAACACATGGTTCCATCTGAAGTCTTAACGTAGAAGAAAACAATGGAAGCTTGTCATAATGAATATATCTGGTTGCAAAGTGCTTGTTCATTAAAATGGCACTGAAAATTAAAACACTATCCGATGATATTAGAACCATTTGGCAAACCATTGTGACAAAAATAGTTGGCACTAGCAATTAACGAACTTTCTCAGAATTTGAGCTAATGTACCTGTTAACAGCATGGGTAGTGTGGGACTGAACCCATATGCAAGTCTGTATCTACTTAGTCCAAGAAATCATGCTTAGATGTTAGCTTTAGCCCATGGGACAAATTCGTACAAATCCTGAAAACCGTTGCTTACTTCTTTTGGGATATGCCTTGTTTTCCAGCCCATGCCCGTAAGAAGGTCAAAGGTGGAAGAGATACTTGGCAGCCCCATTTAAATTGATGAAAGAAATGCATCTTTGACAGTGGTGGTAATTATGTGTGTGTGGATGTGTGTGTGAATGTATGTGTTTTGTGCATAACTATTTAAAAAAACTGGAATTTTAAAGTTACTTTTATACAAACTAAGAATATATATGCTACAGTATATATTAAGACATGATTTGGTCCTATATTTTCAGTCATGATGAATGTATTTTGTATACTATCTTCATATAATAAAATTAACTTCCAAAAACATCTACGTATTTTCTCCCTAATTGCCTTGTAAGTAAAACAAAGTGGCTGTAGTTCCTCTGGAGGTAGAGAGCTGGTATTCTGGGCGATCTCATTAAATACCAGTTCTTAAACACAGCACAAGAAGGATAAAGCAAACTCTGCTAAAGGAGGGGACAGAGAGCTTTCTGTGAGCACTACAAAATGGCTTCTTTACACAATTGGGACACTGCAAACAGCAAATAAAATCAAGGGCCAGCCTATGGTGTGGGTAAGGCATCTGGACTCCACATGGCTATGAGATTCAAGTCCCAGATCTGGTGGTTTGAAAAACAAGCCAGGCATGTGTGAACACATGTCCAAAATCCCAAAAGGAGAGATAGATAGAGAAGGGATTGCAGTGTGACCATCCCCATGGTGGGGAGCTGTCATCTTGCTTTCCTTCCCTTTCTCACTCTTTCTTATCAGTGCACATATCCTCTGTCAAAATTATAATGAGCCATCTATAAAAGAAAAGCCTGTTCCCATCTGCTTCAGACCTTGCGTGGGATCTGAGGAGGACGGGAAAGGGGAGACAGGGTAGAAAAGGTGCCTACTCTCCACAGCCCTAAGACCAGCGGGCCCTGGAACTCGACGCTGGCTCTGCTTGATGCCACCTATGCAAGTTCCTGGCTATGGATTTAGGATGTATGTGTCTTCTAAAGTCAGTCAGAAGCTGCACGGGCACAGCAAATTACTGCTTCTGGGAGAGAAGAGTATGCATCCTTTCATGTATGTAACTTAATTCTAGAAACTGAACCCTAAGTAACAGGAGAATGTATGCTCCCCCATCACCCCCCGCCACATTCTTGTTTAAGGGTTCTTTGTATAGAGATGGGCAAGTAGGAACCATTGTTCCTGAGTCCATGGGTGCCCCACAGTGGATGTCTCAGAGGGCACACCACCAGGACGAAGAGTGAGTCAGGCCTCTCCACGGAGAACTAAATCTAAACAAAAATGTGTTTTGCCTCTTCTTTACATAGACAAAAGCACCTTTGACAACTGGCAATAATAATCAGGTAGCTGGAAGGTGAATTAAGCACAGAGAAAAGAAAAGATCCTAGTTTACTCTCTTTCAAATCAGATGAGGATCCAGCAATTAGTGATGATAAAACCTTAACCGGCCACATTATATCTTGATTTCAATAATCTAATACCTAACCCTTTGCCAAGAGAGAAAACAAAAACAAAAAACATTAGCATTATGTTCAAAGACTCAAGTTTGTCGCCCCATGAGTCTGTCAAACACATGGTTCCATCTGAAGTCTTAACGTAGAAGAAAACAATGGAAGCTTGTCATAATGAATATATCTGGTTGCAAAGTGCTTGTTCATTAAAATGGCACTGAAAATTAAAACACTATCCGATGATATTAGAACCATTTGGCAAACCATTGTGACAAAAATAGTTGGCACTAGCAATTAACGAACTTTCTCAGAATTTGAGCTAATGTACCTGTTAACAGCATGGGTAGTGTGGGACTGAACCCATATGCAAGTCTGTATCTACTTAGTCCAAGAAATCATGCTTAGATGTTAGCTTTAGCCCATGGGACAAATTCGTACAAATCCTGAAAACCGTTGCTTACTTCTTTTGGGATATGCCTTGTTTTCCAGCCCATGCCCGTAAGAAGGTCAAAGGTGGAAGAGATACTTGGCAGCCCCATTTAAATTGATGAAAGAAATGCATCTTTGACAGTGGTGGTAATTATGTGTGTGTGGATGTGTGTGTGAATGTATGTGTTTTGTGCATAACTATTTAAAAAAACTGGAATTTTAAAGTTACTTTTATACAAACTAAGAATATATATGCTACAGTATATATTAAGACATGATTTGGTCCTATATTTTCAGTCATGATGAATGTATTTTGTATACTATCTTCATATAATAAAATTAACTTCCAAAAACATCTACGTATTTTCTCCCTAATTGCCTTGTAAGTAAAACAAAGTGGCTGTAGTTCCTCTGGAGGTAGAGAGCTGGTATTCTGGGCGATCTCATTAAATACCAGTTCTTAAACACAGCACAAGAAGGATAAAGCAAACTCTGCTAAAGGAGGGGACAGAGAGCTTTCTGTGAGCACTACAAAATGGCTTCTTTACACAATTGGGACACTGCAAACAGCAAATAAAATCAAGGGCCAGCCTATGGTGTGGGTAAGGCATCTGGACTCCACATGGCTATGAGATTCAAGTCCCAGATCTGGTGGTTTGAAAAACAAGCCAGGCATGTGTGAACACATGTCCAAAATCCCAAAAGGAGAGATAGATAGAGAAGGGATTGCAGTGTGACCATCCCCATGGTGGGGAGCTGTCATCTTGCTTTCCTTCCCTTTCTCACTCTTTCTTATCAGTGCACATATCCTCTGTCAAAATTAAAAAAAAAAAAAAATCAAACAAGGCAAATTGCCCAGAAAATAAAACACTAAAGTGAGTCAGATCATGAAGCAAGTAAAGCATATGCTAAGATTGAGTGCTGGCTGATGTGAAAGTGCCCTCAATTAAAAAGAGGCAGCTGGGCCAGCAAGTGGAGTGATGGCTGAGGTGCTC